GTCGGGGTCAAGAGGGCTCGACCGAGGGTGATCCTGCCCCTAGCGGGGACGTGTGGCGGTGCAGGGAGACATTTTTCGCTGTCGCAACTTGGGGGGATGCTGCTGGCGTTAGCGGGTAGAACCCAGGGATACTGCTGGCCCCCAGGCCCACTGCCACAACCCCACTGTGTCCAGCTGCAGAGCAGCCACACGGGACAGTCCCACCAAGAGGCTCTGTCCTCACCAAGTGCCCCAGCCACCAACTCTCAAGCGCCCCCATGAAAGGGGCCACCAGGGGAGTGGCCACAAACAAGGATAGATCCCCGTTCTCAAGTCAGACACCCCCCCATGGCGTTGACTGTGGGACGAGTTATGTAACCTTGGTTGCCGGGAAATTTACCTCCCTAATTACATTCCATGGATTTCCATGTGAATCCGCCTCCCCAGAGTTCACAGCAGCCACAAGGGCACCGTAGGAGGGAGGTGGGACGTCTGGAGCCCGAGGCCACCGGGCACAGACCGTGGGATGCACCCAAGNTGGCGTTGACTGTGGGACGAGTTATGTAACCTTGGTTGCCGGGAAATTTACCTCCCTAATTACATTCCATGGATTTCCATGTGAATCCGCCTCCCCAGAGTTCACAGCAGCCACAAGGGCACCGTAGGAGGGAGGTGGGACGTCTGGAGCCCGAGGCCACCGGGCACAGACTGTGGGATGCACCCAAGGATGAATCCTGGTGCCCATTCTACCCCCTCCCATTCCCACCCCCTCCTGCCCACCTCATGTCCTGGGCACCATGCTTAATACCCTGTTCCATTTGCTAAATGGAGGCCACGGGCCATTAATGATGCTAATAGTTCTTAATGAAAATGTAGGGGACAGCTTCCGGTGGCAGAGGTTGTCCCGGGGCGCAGAGCCAGCTGCCCTGGACCCTGGGGAACAGTGCCCTGCAGGCTGCTCTCCAGCCTCGTGGTCAGGATGGATAGGTTCTTGTGGCACTCCTTCTCCGGGGTCACCTTGACAGCTGTCCATAGCTCTGTCCTCACAGGCCTTGGAAGGAGCTTTGGCCCCGGTGATGTTCCCTCCACCCCACCGAGTGGGAACCTGGTGTCCTGTGTACACCTGCTTGGAAACGCACGGTGACATCTCAGCGAGCCTCGGGGGAAGATGGAGGGGCCGAGCGAGATGGACACCACGGGGTGTGGGCATCCTGGAAGGCTTCCCAGAGGAGGTGTTTTGAGCACTCCCAGTGTGGAGGATACCAGTGGAGGAGGGAAGAGGCCCACTCACAGCAGAGAATCCCTGCACAGGGCCTGCCCGTGAGCACAGCCTGGGCCATGTTCTGCACTGTGGTGCCCCAGACACAGGAGGTGCTCAGCAAACAGCTCCTGATGGGGGAGTGGGGAGGTGACGCCCAGCCGAGCCACGTGGGAGCCGCCGGGAGACTGGTGGTTTGAGGCTGGGCCCGGGCCCCCCTCAAGGACCCTCCCTCGGGCTCCCCAGCTTACATCTCTCTCTCCAAAGCGTCCTCAGGCTTCTTCCTGACCCCTTCCCTTGGCAGCCCCCAGCCAGCTCAGCTTCACCACCTGCCCTGCAGAGACCCCGCCTGGGCCTGCGACTGTGGACCTGGTGGTGGCATTTCCTTCCCCTTGGTTGACAGCGGAGGAGGGCCGGCTCCCCAGCACCCCCGGCCCCCTGCTTCCCCAGTCCCATCAGGCAGGTGGCTCCTTGCTGATTTCCTCGGGCAGGTCGGAGAGTGGCAGGGAGGTGAGGCTGAGGGAGACAGGATTTATGGGGCCACGTTATTTATGTGTGTGCAGTGAGCTTGGAGGGAGTTAGGGCTTAATCGTGTGAAATCCGTTCCCTTGCCTGGGGCTTTTCAGCCGAGATCCGAGCCCCGCCAATGCAGGAAGGGGCTGAAGGGGGGTGGGCTCTGCAATGCTCCGTCCTGGGGTGTCTATCCTTCAGCTGGTTGTTGGAGCGGGAGGGCCCCTGGGGTCCATCGGGGACCCGAGGTTTTGACCATTGTTTATGCCTCGAACCCCTTTAGCATCTGGTGAAGCACATGGACCCCTTCCCCCAAAATGGTATTAAATGCATAAAATAAACTACACAGGATTACAGAGAAAGCCATTTTTATTGAAATACATTTATCAGAAGAGAGAGCCTGTGAAATGTCCGTGGCTTCTTTACTGACGCGTGAAACAGCCAGGCCCAGGCTGGGTCTGCTCACCAGCCGGGGTTGGGGGTTGGGGTGAGCGTGTGTGGCCCGGGCACAGTCAGAAGGACCTGAGGTCTCCGTTGGTGACAGGGTCTTGGGTGGGATCCCACCCTAGGGTCACGGGTAGGAAGCTGTCAGGAGACTGGTCCCAGCCCTGGCCGGTGTGACTCAGTGGTTAGAGCATCGCCCTGTGGACCAAAGGGTTTCGGGTTCAATTCCTGGTCAAGGGCATGTTCCTGGGTTGCAGGTTTGATCGCAGGCCCCGGTCAGGGGATGTGCGGGAGGCAGCCAGTCCACGGGTCTCTCTCACATCGATGCTTCTCTCTCTCCCTCCCCCCTTCCCTCCGCTCTCTGAAAAAAATCAATGGGAAAAATATCCTCAGGTGAGGATTGAAAACGTAAGAGACCGGTCCCATGTTGGGGTCTCAGTGGGGACCTGGGTGCCGCCCCGTGTGCTCTGGGTTTGGAGAAGAGGGCTCCGTGCTCGGGGCAGGCTCGTTGCTGGGGTGACCCGGCTCCTCACCCACCCACGCAGCCCGTCACCCACCAGCAGCCCGGTACCCCACGCGGTGTGGCAGAGGCTTGAGGCCCAGCTGGGAAAATGAGGGGCTGCGGCCCAGGGGGAAAGGCGAAAAAAGTGGGGGACACTCAAGATTCGGGGGGAGCTGGTGATGGGCATCAGGAGCCTGGTCACGCCTGCCCCTCGTCACCGACAGGAAGAGCAGGACACAGCACTCGGTGGAGGATCGTACACTTGGGCGACTCCGGGTCCTGCCCCCCTACGGGGCTCTGCCTGGGGGTCCCCTGGAGCCCCTCTAGGTCTCAGGTGGGAGTGGGAGCGGACAGGCAGCCCCCCGCTGCCCTCCGGTCTGTCTGGGCAGCCCAGGCGCCAGACCCCGCGTGGAGGAGGAGAGGGACCTGGGGCCAGAGGCTGCCGGACACATGACCTCGCGGTCCCCGAGTGAAGTAATACGGGGTTCACACGCCACCCGACAGCCCTAATTAATAAAAGATATCGAACTGCCTGCCAGGAGCAGGATGGATCGGATGGGACGGGAGGGGCGCGCGCTCGGGGGATTCTCCCCCCCAGCCTCGGAGCCTCCAGCCCCCTCCGGGCCAGCGAGCGGCTGGCTCCCCTCGGACCTGGTCCCGCCCCTGGGGCACCCTCCGAAGCCTGCAGAGCATTCCCGGGAGGGCGCCCAGGAACTGGAGTGGGCTTAAGAGGATGGGAGTCCGGGGGGGGGGTCAAGGGTCCAGGCAGCACATTCGAGAAACCTGGCTCTGCGGGGACGCGGTGCAGCGGGTTCGTGGGCTGGCGGCTCTGGCTCCAGGAGGGTTTTCCTGCTCGGGGAGACGGCTGAGCTGGGAGCACGTGCTGGGGAGAGGGCTGGGCCCGGTCTGCCGTGGAGGCGGGTGGTCATGGACCGGAGCGCGGCTGTCCATCCCCGGGGCGGGAGGGGACACGAGGCAGGCGGCCGGTGCGCCGGACAGGCCCTCCTGTTGCCCACAGAGGGCAGTCAGCGGGGTGTGCTCAGGTGTCTGACTATCACGTCACAGATGTCCCCAGCTGTCCCATCTCGCGGTTCCTCGTGCACACCCCAGACCCCTCGGACGCCAACACCCAGTACCCGAGTGACCCCCCCCTTGCGTTGTGTACAGGCTCCCTGGCAGGCTGGGCTCCAGGCTCCACCAGTGAGAGTGACTGGCAGCTGTCACTCAGCCCGAGGGGGACCCCAGGAAGAGGGGACTGGGAAAAGTTGGGGTGGGGTGAGAAGGAGGCAGATGGGAGCGGAGCCTCGGAGGCGGCAGGAGGAGGGGCGCCGGGAGACCTCAGTTAGTGAAGGTTCTAATCAAATATTTATCAGTTAATTGATCTCATGAGCCGCCTCTCCCTCCCCCTCGCCATCCCACCCACAGTTTCCTCCCCTCTCCTNCAGGCTCCTCCCCGCTCTCCTGCCCCCTCCCTCCTCGCCACCCCGGGTGCTCCTCCACCCCGACCAGCTCCCCCTGCCAGGGGCCTCTCGCCCTTCTCTCTAAACTGGGAGCTGGGGGGCATCGCCAACACGTTTGCTAACAGCGGGTCACGGGCTTTGCATGGGGAGTGCATGTGTGTGCGTGCACACCTGGGCTGCCCTCTGGTTCCCTCTGGTTGTCAGGAGCTCGAGCGCTGTCCCAGTTTCCGCAGAGAGAGGGAAGGACACAAGGACAGGACTTCTGCTTACCGGCTGTCAGGGGTCACCCTAGGAGTCAGGGGTGTCCAGCACTGAGATAGTGGAGGCTGGCATTGGGGGTTTGGAGAGCAGGGTGGGGCTGGGCCCTGGGCACAGAGCTGGCCTCAGGCCTTCACCTACAAGGGAGGCAGGCAGGCTGCCGGTTGGGGGAGGGGGGGCCTGGCCCAAAGGCAGAGCATCCGCAGGGTCTTTGACTCACCATCGCCCTGGGGTGGCCAGGCCTCTCTGGGGACCTCAAGCTGTAACAGCTGATTCGACTTCTGGGGAATTGACTGAATATACTCCCACGGGACTGTAGACCCCACAGAGGTGGGCTACCCACCCCGATCCCCAGCCTCCCCGTGAACGGGTGTCAGGTGAGTAAGTCACAACTGAATAAAGGCTAGAAGAGAGCAAGTCCCGGTGTGATGGGGAGCTTGGGAGCGCACATGGGGTCCTCCCGAGGCGCAGGGAGGAAAGCAGTCATGAGTGTCTGACTATCCATGCCTGTGCGAGGGTCCTTTCTGCAGCCGGGCTGCTCAAGTGAGAGCTGGCACCTGTCCTTACAGGTGAGGGGCACTCTGTCGCCTTAGGACACCCTCAGAAGGCCAGAGAGTGCCTCACCTGCTCAGAGGGGCTGCTGCGAGCCTGCCCTCGGCGAGCATCTCTGGTGAGGGATGGGGAGTGGGAAGAGCCAGAACACCACCCACCACCCAGTCCCTCCTCTGAGGCTGAAGGACTTCCACCAGGGCTGCTTTTATGCCCCACATCGGTGGTTCCCGCAGCACCCAGACTGCGGAGCAGGGGAGGTCGGGGGGATGCTGAGAGTCCACACTGACGGCTCCCAGGGGATCGTGTCCGGGTTTCCTGGAGCATAACCAGCCTTCTCTCTCCCTCCGCAGGGCAGTCAGGACGCCACGGCTCCGCCTGAAGCAATGGNCCTCCGCCACAGAACGGGATCCCAGCCGAGTACGCCCCGCCCCCGCCACACCCCACGCAGGACTACTCGGGCCAGACGCCAGTGCCCCCGGAGCACGGCCTGACCCTGTACACACCAGCACAGACCCACCCCGAGCAGCCGGGCACCGAGGCCAGCTCACAGCCCATTGCTGGCGCCCAGACCGTGCCGGTAAGGGGCCCCTGCGGCCCAGAGCCTCAGGGAGCAGGGCTCACCCAGGGGGGTGGCTCAGGAGGGCAGTGAGGCGAGCCCCTGGGTGGAGGGGCAGGTGCCGTGATGGGGGTCCCAGCCTTGCCGCTCTTCATCATCTCACAGCAGGCATCTTCCTAGTGGCACCTGCTCAGCCAGCCACAGCGGGGTGCAGGGTGACCCGCCCACAGCAGGCCCACCCCCTCCAGCTGCCCCCGCTTCCTGAGCCAGACTTCAGCCAAACTCTCACCCCCTCTGGGAGG